CACTTTTAGGGGAGCAAAAGTTGACCACCCCCCTGGATAGCACAATTTACTATTTTCAATTTTTTTATATTTTCCACAATTTAAGAACTCAAGCAATCCATATATAGCAAAAATTACATTTCATGAACAGAATTGTGGAATTGAGAGCAATTTCAAAATTGTCTTACTTTTTTTGATACACCCTGTATTGTGGACCAGGAACTACGTGACCGAGTTCCGATCTTGTGCAAATCGTCAAACTTTCAAAACCTTCGAGACTTTGACTTGATGAACAAAAAATGAATAATCCAAATTACGTCTGCTACGTTTTCCAACATGCCATTTTTATTTCTGCTCAGTCGTGGCTTCATAACTGCACGCTTGTGCTAAAAACAAATTGACATGTTTTTGTTTTTTACAAATATAGAACATATGTATTATTCCGAATAAAGAGTGCATAATAATTATTAACACACAATTTATAAAAACTGTATACTGTTTCGAATCAAATCTGATTCATCTTCAGCCGTGTTTTGCAAGACATGTCGTTATATTACAAGCGTAAGCAATTTTTAAACAAGCTATAGCGTGCGCAAAAGTGCGTAATAGTCTAGAACCTGTATAGATGTTTGTATGCGTTTCATTTAACACAGGTAATCTCAACTCAACTATTTATTTAGGGTAAAATGACCATGGCGGTCAACATGGCATATGTGCCAAAACCTGAATCTGGGACGATCGAAAGTCCAGAAAATGACCCCGCCCTGAAACGGCAGTGCCGACAGCCTTTCTGAAGTGCTTATAGTGTTTAGAAGGGTTGCTTTTAGGGGTGTTAATGGAAGGAAAAATTTGTCTACGTATAATATTTTACAGGAAAATGACCATGCACCACCCCAGGTAAATTGCTAACTGTTATGCATAAAATAACTAATATGCCTGGCAGAAATTAAATTATCATGGGATGAAAAATATAATACATTTTATTTCACTCACTCCCCACGAAAACACGATATCAGCCATATTTTTCCATCTTGTTTGCTTTTTATCGCCGAGTCTCGCAAATATCATCCAGTTGTTGTACTTTTACATAATGATAAATGGAAAAATAAACAAGTTTTGAAACAGTGCAGTGTATTTTATCTTCGATATTGTCATATTGTGTCCTTTGATATTTCGTCAAATTGCCGCCATTTTAATGGCTCGCCGCTTCTCTGCCCGATAAATGCCAACTTCTTCGTTTTCATAGTATTTAGATTACAGTATCCAAGAGTACTTCATTGTAGTCAGAATAGTCCCAATCGAAAAATTGAAAACATTAGTTGCACTTGGAAGGAAAATACCTCCCTTAAACCATTTAGGTTCGAAATAAAAAAACAAATCGTTTGAAAGTCACGCGCAATCTTCGCGAAAACTTCTGGTGGACACATGACAGGGGGGTGAATATTTTCACGAAACGTTTGTTCGCCACCACAACAACCTAACTAAATATATTGTATTTATTGTATTTTTAGGATTGATGACAAAACCACGCAAATATTTATTGTTTTTATCATAAATCATAAAAATACAATAAATACAATATATTTATATAGTTAGGTTGCTGTGGTGGCGAACAAACGTTTCGTGAAAATATTCACCCCCCTGTCATGTGTCCACGAGAAGTTTTCGCGAAGATTGCGCGTGACTTTCAAATGATTTGTTTTTTTATTTTGGACCTAAATGGTTTACGGGAGTTTTTTCCACCCAAGTGCAACTAATGTTTTCAATTTTTCGATTGGGACTATTCTACAATGAAGTACTCTTGGAAACTGTAATCCAAATACATATGAAAACGAAGAAGTGGCATTTATAAAGGAGGAAAACCCATTCCAGTGTGTTTTTTACGATAAGAAATAGTTCTGAACATGAGAATATATATTTAAATCGTCGTTTAAAAAGACATTTTCAAAGTTGTTGTGCAATTAAGCCAAAAGTTCAAAACAAAACATGAAAGATCAAGACAAATTCAAACTCAATAGTTATGTTTGAAAAACATATATTATAATTGTTTTATAATATAAATGGAGTTCAGTAGTCTCTTTAAACTTACACAACGCTTTTGAAACCATAGTTTTCGACGATTTATATTTAAGCGATTTACAATTTATCGACAACTAACCCGTTTACACTACGCTCAATTTTTGGTACGGCACGGATAAAAGTGGTACCCGTACCACTTTTTTGGTTCTTGGACTACCTATTTAGGTAGTCCAAAAACCAAAAAGTGGTACAGTACCAAAAATTGAGCGTAGTGTAAACGGGGCTTAGCTAAATAGGTAGTCCAAGAACCAAAAAAGTGGTACGGGTACCAATTTTATCCGTGCCGTACCAAAAATTGAGCGTAGTGTAAACGGGGCTTAAATATATTTGTTTCAAAAACATGAAAACACTTCGTTTAGATTGAAGAAAAACGAAACCCGACGAAGATGAACATATTCCACGTACGTCATGTTGTTTTAGTCAACTCAACGTAACAACTATAATTTCGTAATTTCGTAAAATATTAGCAATGAAAACAGTTACGTTCAGAGCATGCAACATGTTTTATGAGTAAATTATATTTAGTCAAACTACTTTCAATTGTTTTTACAAGGCTGCACGATTTTCACCGTTTTCTAACTGCACATTTGCTTTGAGCCTTTAAAGTGAACTTAATTTTTCAAAATAAATCCCAACTACAAATTACACAGCAAGACAAAACGTTTTGACGATGAAACTTAGTTTTAGCTTTGTTTATACTTTGTAGTTTGCACTCCTACTCAAATTCAACATGACGGATTTAGGGACCGCTCATTATTTATGGAGGGGGAAGGGATTTTTTTCTTTTCTAAATTTTTAAAATTGAAAGCCCCCCTAAAAAAGCAGAAATTCAATGATGACCCCCCTGCATATTAGAGTATTTTTCTTTGACCCCCCCCCCCATTTTTACCCAGGCATTATAGTGCTAATTATTAAATAAGAATATGGAACTGGCAAGATATTAACGTCGACCAAAAATATATATTATAATATTAGCAGAAAATTATAATTAAAAGAGGAGTATTTTTATATAGAATACTAAAATCAGTTTTCCATTTAGTCTGGGCGATTGTAACCATGTTTAAGGCTGCAACTAGACTTGATGGTACGAAGTATTGCCATAGCAGCTGCGCGGCAACAATGAGAGTAACAATCAGTAATATTAGCAGCAAAAGGATATAGCAATGACAATTCTGTCAAGGCATACCTACGAAATACAATGTATAGTGGTCTATACATCCTACTTTATATGAGATTAAAAATTATATAAAATAAAATGATATATACTACATATACTACTAGAATGAACATGGGTGGGTGGGTGGGGAAAAGGTATCGAAGCGCTAAACTTGCTGCAGCTAGGCGAAGCATACAATGGCAGAATGAATACCCAGACCGAAGCGCTGATCACAAGGCATCAAACAACCCCCTTTGATTGATATGACGTCACAGACTCCCCTCAGCGGATGTGGCCTGCATAATACATCCGCTGTTAACCTTAATTTAAATGTATTTAACCACATCAAGAGCTGATGTAATATAAATAATACATTGTCAATTTAACTAGTTTGCAACCCGTAAAGACTGATTTGCATACAGCACACACAAGACAAGATAAATCCAGACTATTTCACATCAGTGACCATAATTTAGTTGCAACATTTACAACGAAATGGATACCAGGTTATTAATTTAAGAAAATTCCTTCAAATTTAATTGCAACCCCATCATTTTCTTGAATAAACTTAATAGCCCCCCTTCTAGTCATTTATTTCTACATATGACCCCTCCCTTATTTTTTCCCTCCCCTCCTTCCATAAATAATGACCGTTCCCTTATAAGGGCATTTTTGTTTTCAATTTGGACACCGGTCACGTGACCAAGCACGCATTCTAGGTCTAATATTTCTATGCTTAGGACTGACCGAACGCTTCTGGAACGGGTGAAGGAACATGCATACAAAGACAAGGAAAGTGCTGTATACAAACACTTAGACTGCTGCTACGACAGAACATTCTTGACATCACAATCTAACACACAACTGACAGAACTTCTACTCTCAAGCATTAAGGTCATCGATTCTTCAAGAAACTGGAATTTATTACTATATAAAGAAATATGCCGCCATTGCAATGCCTCGCCACTTTCTGCTCGATAAATGCCATTTCTTCGTCTTCATATGTATTTAGATCACAGTATGCAAGAGTATACATGTACTTCATTGTAGAATAGTCCCAATCGAAAACTTGAAAACATAAAAATTTGCGTAGCAAATATTTATTGTTTTTATCATAAATCATAAAAATACAATAAATATAATGGCTACGAGGACTCGAGGAGTTTTCGCGAAGATTACGCGTGACTTTAAAGTTATTTTTAAACTTGTGTTTTTTATTCTGATCCTAAATTTAATGTGTTATGGGAGGGGTTTTCCTTTCAAGGACAACTAATGTTTTCAATTTTTCGATTGGGATTATTCTACAATGAAGTACTCTTGGATACTGTAATCTAAATACATAGGAAGACGAAGAAATGGCATTTATCGAGCAGAAAGTAATGAGGCATTGCAATGGCGGCATATATTTGACAAAATATCGACGGACACAATATCGAAGATAAAATACACTACACTGCTACAAAACTTTGCGAAATTTGGTTGAAATCTTCTTTACTCTTTAGCCATCTATCATTAGCGTATGTAAATGTAAAAATACAACAATAGACCTTATGCATAATGACGTCATAAGGCTTGATGCCCGCGAGGAATGCTGGTCTCAGTAGTCATCGCCCGGAAAAATTAAACAATTCAAAATGGCCACTATCGAAATTTTTCCAGGCGATGACTACCAAGACCAGTATTCATCGCGGGCATCAAGCCTTGTGACGTCATTATGCATAAGGTCTATTGGATATTACTTGCGAGACTTGGCGATATTAAAGCAAACAAGACGGCAAAATATGGCTGAAATCGTGTTTTGGTGGGGGTAAAGTGAAAATAAAATGTATTATATTTAAACAAAACAATGACAATCCTTATAAAATCTACAATAGTAGCGATTGATACACCGGGTGGAAAGCGTAATTTGAAAATGAAAATTAAAGCCCAGCAAATGACTTTCAGACTGTATAAGACATAACAAAAATATAAAATTTTATATTTTTGTTATGTCTTGTCTGAAAGTCATTTGCTGGGCTTTAATTTTCATTTTCAAATCTACAATAATAAATAATTATATTAAATTAAGCATAGTTCTTCATCCCATGATAATTTTTTTAGGAAATAAGAAAATTCAATCTCTGCCAGGTATATTAGTTATTTCATGCGTAATTAGTAGTTGACATGGGGTGGTGCATAGTCATTTTCTTGTAAAATATTATACTTTGACAAATTTTTCCTTCCAATAACTACCTAGTCTGCGTGGCAGGCTCAATGGGTAAATGAGAGCCTGCAACAATCTCAAGGAAATTTGATCAGCTACTAATTACTATGATAATTTATTTCCAATCCAACCAATCATATTCTCTGAAATTCGTGTGCGTGATGCAGTGTGAATAATAACTAATATTATTTCAGGGCATTTTTTAACTATATAACTGGGGGGGCCAAAGCCCCCCCAGCCCCCATGGTGGCCCCCCCACTCAACCATTTTGGCCCCCCCCAGTCAAAGTCCCTTTTCTCTAAAATATAAGCAAAACATGGAATTTAGAAGGGAAGTTTGATATTCTAGTAACTGAAATTTGCTTTGTGAATCTTATGTCCTGTCTTTTATGTTTAATAAATACCTTAGATTTTAAAACATTTCCCAGGCAGTGGATTGCATTTCCCAGACCCTATAGATTTGACTGTTGGACAAGTTAGTGACCGCAGGGGGCAACAGGCCCTCAACCAAGTGTTTTATAAGGGGGGGGGGGATAATTTTGGCCCCCACCAAAAAAAAACCAATTTGATTTCAAAACTAGAAGTATTTGAAATCATATATACATATAATCAAATATCTGTAATCGATATTTTGATAACATTTCTCGTAATAATCCATCATGACTCGCGGATATCATAGACTCGCAAATCATAATTAAAAAAAAGGGCCTAACAAAAGACGTATACAAGACTTTGAAAATGCCATTTCCGACGATTTAGAGACGCAAAATTTTCAAAATTTTTTTGCTCTGTGCCAACCATGGTAGCGCTTCGTGGGAGTCTGGAACTCTAAGTTTATCAAGCTGGCTCCCTAAGTGACGGCCAAGTTGTGGTATCTACATAAACATACTATGAAGTACTTAACTGAAGGTTCAGTCTATCTACAGCATAATGTTGTAATGCTGTATATCCAAAAATCTGTTTCAGAAAATGCAGGGAATTGCAGTCATAGGGGTAGAAAAATACAAAAATTTTCTGGGAGAGAAAACCCCAGACCCTCTCCAGGGTATATTTTCCAATATATCGTTAATTAAATACACCTTCGCCCATTTAGTACTACTGAATTCTAAATTTCCACTACTAAAAACGCTGTTTTCTGACAATCAGAAATCTGTCAAATCTTCTCCAAAGTCCAGGAAATGGCATTTCAGAGACTCTAAATTTAAAAATTTCCTCGGGCCTTCGGCCCTCGCTTTCAGCCCCCCCCAAACGAAAAGAGCTTCCTACGGCCCTGCTCCCTCCCCCCCCTACTATTAAATGCGATACCACACCAAACTTTTTTTTACCAACAAACCATCTATCATTGCTCCACACTCGGTATAGTATTGTCCCTTTTTGTAGATGGCCCCCCCACTGATGAATTCTTAAAAAATGCCCTGTATTATTTATTTATTTTATTTAAAAAATTTACCCTAAGGCGGGTGTAACTATAAGAGGAGATGAAGTCCCATACTAGATAGTACTACATACACCTACTGTTGCAGTTCATATAGAGTAGCTCGAGAATTCAAACTTTTAAAAAATTGGCAGTTTAAATTACTTTTGGAATTACATTTACACTGGCGATGTCGGTTTGGTACATTAGTATGTGATACAATTCACTAGAACAAAACATTTTAACTTGATAAACGTTAACAGTTTAAATGCCGTTACTCAACACTGACAATTAATTTTTACGTATTAATGAACGGAACTCAATAGAATTATATCAAAAGGAAGACAATATACCATCTTAGGTCCAAACATTACAATAAATTTCAAAATCATACAAAATATGACCAGCTATATGAGCGAATACTGAACAGTGATACACGTTTACAAATTGACAGTACCAAACTCTTATAACTCTAAAAATATATCACAATACAGCAAGCTACTGTAAATTGCACTGTAGTTTGTAGTCTGCTATAAAACTCATAATAACATAAATTCATAAAAGCAACGTTTGTAGATCGAGTAATAAGTTTCATAAACACATAAAGCGACATGTATTCCAAACTTTAATAGGATACATAATTTGTCGATCAGTATTTCAAATTGATCGGGTATAGCTACTGTACTGTGCTACTTAGAGAAATACCAACACGTGCATGGGTTTGTATCCATGCTCTTCGACTTGTCAAGGCAGATATCCAATGAGAAAACCTGCCAAAACATCTCAACGATTTCCAGCTGTTCAGTTTTTAGTTTAAAACCCAAATTCACAGTACTCTTTCAAAAATATACGCTTTTATTGAAAGCGTATAAACATTGCGTCACAGACGGTTCTATATAATTTATGCATATTTTGGTAACATTATGATTTCAACCAATAGCATTTTTAAGTTCCCTCACGGCCCCGAAATACCAAATTTCCTTGAGATTGTTGCAGGCCCATATTCAATGGGACGGCCACGCAGGCTAATTAACCACCCCTAAAAGCAACCCTTCTAAACACTATATAAGCACTTCAGAAAGGCTATCGCTTTTGCTTTTAGGAAGTTCGAGCTATGTTGGCACTGCCGTTTCAGGGCGGGGTCATTTTCAGGACTTTCGTCCCGGATTCAAGTTTTGGCACATATATGCCATGTTGACCGCCATGGTCATTTTACCCTAAAACAGTTGAGATTACCTGTGTAAAATGAAACGCATATACAAACTTCTATACAGGTCCTAGACTATAACATTAACATGTGACATTAATTGCTGCACAATTGCTGTCAACCATTGCTCTGCTTATATTTCTTATAGAGTAAGCATTATACTAAGCAATATCAT